TAATTACATTGTTCAACGGCGATTTTATTCTTTGCTCAAATTAGATTATCTGTTGAACATTTATTTATGGTTTCAAATATTGATAGAAATAATGCAGACATCAATGTTCAGTTTGGTTACATATATTAATGTCTTATGGACAAACGTACATGTTTGGTTACATTTCCTTTTTTATAAACTACTTGCTTGATTTTTATAAAACTTGGCCTATTGATGCAATCTGATAATAGTTTATTCGAATCTCAGGTCAAAAATAAAAAATTCAAAATAGTGGTCCAATATGGTGGAGATAAAATTTGAAAAAATAATCTAATTATCACATAAAACTCGATTTTAAGGAATTTTTAATTGCAATATATACATATAATATGTGTAATATTATATAATGTCAAATTCTCAGTTCCGCTTTATTTGAAATTCGTCAGTTTACGCAAACAATTAGTACTGATTTCCAAATTGACTTTCAAATATTGATTATCAGCGATTAACGCGCTTAGATCCTCCATTTGAGATTACTACCTTTTCGAAATTCGACATTTTCAGGCATTGAACCCAGCGATACAAAAACCGTAAAAGTTTGACGATAATCAGATTATTTGTTTTAAAATTTTTGAATTTTAGAATCCAAGGCTAGAATTGAATTCAGCGACCTTGAAAACCCTTAGCAAAAATATTTACAGAAAACCTTGTTTTTTTCCCCTTTTTGAAAAAGGGTTTTCAAGGTCGCTGAATTCAATTCTAGCCTTGGATTCTAAAATTCAAAAATTTTAAAACAAATAATCTGATTATCGTCAAACAAGGTTTTCTGTAAATATTTTTGCTAAGAATTCCCATCTTCAAAGCCGTTAAAGTTTAAAGAGTTAAAGTTTAAAATATCATTTGCAATAATTAGAATTAGATTAGATAAATTATTAGCTTGATTCTCCTGGCAAATTCTTTTTTTTTAGAATTCTTTATATAATTTTCAAAATTTCTATATAAAAATTTTTTAATTTTTCATAAGCATATAAAATTTTACAATCGGAGAAAATTTTTAACTTTTTAAAAAGTTTCTCAGATTTTCTTACTATAACAAAAAATGCTGAGAAAGTCTACATCTCTTTTAGAACTTTTTATACATGTGAATTCTATAATGTTCTAAAATTTCTTATTCTATAATTTTCAAAGAAAGTTTATAGAATCTAAAGAAGTTTAATATTTTTTAGAAATCTTCATAAATTTAAAATACAAAAAGTTCTTCAAATTATTATGAGATATAAGATTTTTTTCAGGGTTACATTGACGAATGGGCCGTAAGTTTCATATCTTTGTGTTGCAATTTCAATTTCGCCTTATCTCTGTCGGTTTTGATACCAGTTCCAATGTCGTGAATCACGATTCGGGCGAAACGCACGGTCCATGTCACCGCCATGCCAATCGAGATCGGATTCCGAATGTATCTCCTGTGAGATTGACACTTTATTGCGGTCGTATATACGAGATTAGAGGAGACGGCATTCCACCATTCACCTATGCTCGGACTTTCTGGGCGTTACTTCTGGCGGTGTCGCCGATTCAATATGTGAACTTGTTGGATTTATCGGATTGCCCTTACCCTCTAGCCTTAGCCGCCGTGACTCGTATTTGCGTCACGCTTCTTCTACAAATTGCCGACCTGGGCAAAATGTCGCATTTTGTTTCCTTCCGACAAAGAACCTGCTTGCAACACTGCACTTACACGCGCGCCAATCGCCCCAACATCGATTTCAATGTTTCTCAAATCGTAAAACGTACAATAGGATAGGAGTTTTCATTTTGATATCAAGATATATACCTATAAAAATATTAATACTATATCTAAAGAATACAGTATACGTACAAATATATACCTAAATGTATTTGTAATATTACACTATTACAGTTTACAAATTTTAAATAATTTTTAGTGCAAGAAAAGGAAATAACTTTCTTAATGTATTTTAGAGCGTCAAGTTTGTGTGTGTAAATATGATGCCAGAAAAATTTCATTAGGCTAAATTTTTAAGATATAGCATGTAAATTTTATTTATATGTTTTATCTTAAACGTTATTTTTAAAATATACATAGCATGTCCATTTTTAAGATATAACATTTCTTATTGAATAATTTAGGTACGGAAAGTGAACAAGGCGAACGTTTCCACCAGAATTTGATGATAATTTGATGAGAAACATTATTAACATTATTAATATTATTTACAATAATAAAGTAGTGTTATTAAAGCGCGTTGGTTAATGCGACAGAGAAAGTGGATCTAATAGACATTGTTTTTCAATTGAAACAGCAATCGAGCCTTGGAAATCTAATGTTTGAGATGCCTTTAAAATGGTGCAATCAATTGATTTTATTGAATAAACAAGTGTCTACAGCCTAAGGGCAAATATATCGAAAAACAATAGAGCAACAATTATTCATTCTGTTTGTCAATTTGCGGAAATTTTCGACGTTGTCTATATATGTATTCACGCAGATATAAATTATTAACTTGATACTAAAATATTGTTTCCGAATAAAAAAGGCCGAAAACTGCACGTTTTTAGTAAATATATAGTCCAACAGGTAGGGATAACTACTGTAATCGGCTAACATGGCCGACCAGCACGAGAATCGAAACCGTCGACAGTGGAGCTGGCCGGAAATCGATTACATCCAACAGTAAATAAAATAAATCGACGATTTAAGCGGACGTAACGGCACACTGCGGACGACATTAAATAGGATGACAGAATGTAGTACAAAATACACAGTACGAACACATAGTAGCGCTGCGCGTAGCCTGGTATTTTTCACAGCGGTTTTGAGTATTTTTCACAGCGTTTTTGTTTCAGTTATGAAAACGCTATGCGTGATCGGTCGGCACATTTACCGCGTACATTTTAGCTAGCTCGATGCTGTTCATAAAACGCAATATCCAGCTTTACGAGGTGCTTAGCGCGAACGGCCACGCTTCTAAATAATGATACAACTAATTGTTCAGTTAGTTGATCATGGCGCCACATGCCCGGAAAAATCCATAAACGTTGCTTCGCTTTGCTAGATTACTAACAGCGGCACTTAAATATCCCATCGAATCGTTAATTAAATGACAGGCGACGATCACCGGGTCATGGATCACCGATCGATAAATTCCACTCGGACGCGCGGCGATCCCCGGCACGCTAATGAATACGCCGACCTATTCGCGCTCAACAAGCGGGCAAGCGAGCATTTCGTTTTACATCAGATTTGAACGATAGTATGCGATTTAATGTAAATATCGCAGATACAGCAGAAGCAATATTTATTTTACGCAATGCGAAGCATGCGTAGTAAATTGTTGATACGTACGCTTTTGAATAGATACTAATAAAACACCAATCAGAAGCAATAAATATTTGTCAAAGATAAACGAACATTCCTTTTTTTTGTAACAATATTTCTCAAGAAATATTTTCGATTTTCCTACCAAAAATTATCGAATACTCATTACTATACTTCAATATATACCTTTTTTTTTATATTCTACATCGATTTTATCGAGTGCGGATTTGTTCTAGCCAATACGAAACGAATAACTTTCATTTTTACTGGATTAAAACATTAAATAACTAACACGCAATAATAACGATTAGATAAATAATGAATTCCATTTAAAACGCACTTTATGTGACAGCGATTTAATATCATTACGAATAAAAAAAGATCAACTGTATTCATTATTTTCAGTTCAGTTAAATAACGTTGCGAGAAACATCCGAAATATGAATATATTACCCACACATTTAAACTGCAAATAAACCAATTACAATATTTAACGTCAAACGCTAGTGACTAAATGATCTATCGAAATTGAACTTTTATTTCTATTCATTACCGATTAAATATTTATTGCCAAACCCACGAATCCTATCGAGCAGAAATCTGTTCTATCCACAGTTTCCAATTAAATACCGCCACTAGGGATATCCGAGGTGCGACAGTTGATCTTTCCATCTCTACCTTGCCTAGCCATCCAACTCCGCAGACGTGTCACTTGCAGAGATCGCAGCAGGTAAACGTGCAGCGGTGAGACCGGTCGAAGCATCGACGACGGTGCTATCGATCTGCTGATCGTGTAACCGGCAGGAATCGATAACTAATACGCGAAGCCCGCTACCGGATGTTGCCTTGTTGATAAAGGACCGCCCTGCGAGTATCGGCGGCATCAAGGACGCCGCAGGAGGGCCGTAGGGCACGCGGCTACCGGCACATAATTGATTGGCATTAGCGCGCCTGATTGCCAGTCGCCCTCCTCTGAAATCGTCCCACGGGTTGCTTAAATACTAGCCAACGTCTCTCTGAACCAAACAGTATTTGTGAGCGGTTGCGACACTAATCAGGCAATATGGTGCGAGCTACGAAGGAAGGTCAATTGGCGAAGGCTGGGCTCGTCACTTGCTTTCCCATAACGTTGATGTTGAATAATTCTACATACGCGATAAACAAAACAGCTCAACGTTTATCGTACATTCTCCTGCATACATACTGCATACATTCTGCCCGTACATACAGATGAAATTTATAATGAAGTTTAACTACTACAAAATCGTCAATTACCTAATGAATATTACAAAATCGGCAAAAGAAAGCATTAAAAGATCGACCGGTATAGGCTGTTGAATTTCTATTATTAATTGTGTTTCTCACATTATACGGTCTAAAAATAAAATTCTTATTGAGCATAAATAATATTTTATTAAAAATTATAGATTAAAAGGCTATTGTTATATAAATTTGTAATATTTTAGCTTTCAACAATAAGCAGTTTATTTATAATGCATGATAAAAAATAAATGTTTTCAAGGTAAACCTATTTTTATCAAGAATAAGGCTTCTACTGATCGTCAATAGTATCATGATAGAATGTTCTTGGATAAATTGCAAGATAATATGTTAGGAAGTTACCCTGTATCAGCATACTTCTCTGTGAAGTGAATGTTCTAGAAGCGAGAACTTCTCTTACCTGAAGACAGTGTCTCCTCGCCAACCAGCCTATGTGCTGAAGCTGCTGGGGATCTGGAAGTGCTGAGGCCAGTCGTAATGCTTTCAAGGTGAGGGCTGCCAACGCCGAGTGCAAAGCATTGAACCAGACGTTCGCTTCCGTGTTGTCAGCGGCTCTCAACCAGCATTCGTGAACACCATCAGGTGAATGTAATTCTAGGATACGCCCATCTACAAAGAAACAAGAAAGAAAAAAATGGAAGAAGAACATGGTATTCTATGAAATGACAAAAATTGTTGCACGCATGTAACTATCATTGTTAACTTTTTATAGATGTATACGGAAAGAATAATTTTACTTAAGTATCTAAAAATTTAATTAGATACAGATTTGAAAATAATATTGTTGGACCATTAAGATAATTATGTAGGGAATTCAAACATAATAAACAATGTAAAAAATTTTGATATTCCAGCAATCAGCGCGCGCGCGCTTGAGCGTTTATAATTATTTTAATAATTCAACAAAATTATTTTCAGATCTGTATCTAACTTTTGTAGACGTCTACTATAATAAAACCGTTCTTTCCGTGTAGTAAACTATTATATCTCGAACATAGCATAGGTATGTATTCTCATTTCTAAAAAACTTTTAAAACAAGCTTTATTCCACGATTATTACAAAAAATATACATTTTTAATACATATTTTCCTGGTACAATTTTATGCTTTATATCATTTTATTTTTACTAGAAAAATTATCAGTTATAAAAATACTTAGAAAACAATATTTTTACATCTATGATGCACTTAATTCTTATAATTATTATATTACGACCTCGAGTATCAAATTTTATCTTGGAAAACGTACAAGAGAGAGTACGAAAGTAATTCAATCTACAATTCCATTCTTGAAAATCTATTTAACAATTTTATTACATCAAGAGCTATCGAAATAGCCACTTTTTTTTCGTGAAAGTTGGATTCTGCGAGTTATACTTGGCAAAAACGAGACAAGCGACGGCACCAGAATTGAACTTGCTTGGCGTCGCTCCTGGTAGCTGATAAACCTTCCTCTCTTTTTTCGTTAACACGAAAACTTTAATACATCTGACATAAATCGCGCGAGATCGGTCACGAAGGCCTGAAATAAGTTTATAATCGGAATATCGCCATAGTTCTAGAGATTGTCTCGTTTTTCGACGTCCCACATAATTCGTCTACATATAGGTACTACAAGCCTAAAGAACTTTGCAATTTCCTGTTTGGCTAGTTTCTAGATTTATTATGCTAATATACTAGGCTCGTTTTTCAGCACTAATAACGACTACACCACTGCAGCTTGTTATCGATCCGTAAAATATATTACAAGTAAAACTTCTGATATTTGGGATTTATTTATTAATATAGCAGTTTCTTAGATATTTCGTTAGATATTATATTTTGTCGCTAGATAAATAATTATTATTGGTTATTGCAATTTTTTACTTACAAATGATATAACTATACACAATAGAATGTCGTTACAGTAATTTTGACGTAAATTTTCCTTCCTGTATAAATAAGTTTGATAAACGCTTTCACAAGCCGAAACAGCAACCATCTCTTTCGCTTAGCAAGCCTAGATTCACGTCAAACTCATCGGCATTTCGTACGGAAACATACCTTGACGTGCTCTTTTTTCCGATTCCGTGTACGCATTCTAATCGCCTTCTATCGAGAAACGGCGCGGAAAGTTCCGGAAGCAGTAAACTCGCGCTACGTGTGCGGAAAGGCGCGGCGGCCGTAAGAAAATATTGAATTTCCGATCAAAAGGAAATTACGCTCGAGTTAAAAGCCCCTTTATGTCACTCCTGTCTACCCGGCCTTTTCTGCCTAAAAAGAGGCAAACGAGACGAGCACTGCTCTTGCGAAAGGGGACAGAAACATCGGGAAACGTAGCGTGATGTCGAAATGATAGGATCACGTGATTAATGCTTTCTCTCATCTATTTTATTGTAAAGGGAATTTAATCGATCAAGTATATTCCGTTTAATTCTGTAGCGGAAAGCAGGAAATTGGTATATCATAAGTTACAGCGTTTCAAGTGGGATTGAATCATGTAGTATATGACGAACGAATACATATGACATTTGCAATTCGATATTTCACAATTTTACATTCTAGCTGTAGTTAGAACTATGTATTTAAAACAAGAACAATATTTTATTTTAAGCTTACTGACGAAATTATAAAATTGCATTATTTAAAAATATATTTGTTGCAGCCAGATAAAAAAAAGTTATTTGTAACAAACGAGCCTATCACGAAACTTACCATCCGATAATCACACTCAAATGCAAATGTATTCGGCAAAAGAACTGTGAAAAGTGTTTTAGGTACCCCCTGATATCATTCTTGTCGAGTGACAGCCACACAGAGAGAAAAATGTTTGGTATTTGTAACTATAATTATATATTACTATAATTATGATTATTACTACTATAATAATAATAACAGTAACTATATATAGTCATTTTAGGTTGCCAATTATATACATTTGTTACTGGAACTATATATATAGTTACTGTTATTATTATTATAGTAGTAATAATCATAATTATAGTAATATATAATTATAGTTACAAATACCAAACATTTTTCTCTCTGTGCACATTTCAAGAAACACAACTAACTCCGTCCTATTCGGCCGAGCGAATTCTTTGCCAAAAATCGCCTACCGTAATCTTATATCTGTCTGGTGTAACGCTGAGAATATCACTTATATAATATACAATATATAATATAAAGTAACATAGATTGTGTAGCTTTAGATTGTTTCATAAAAAAAAGATATAGAAAAAAGTTACAGTGCAGCATCTTCATCTTATCTAACAGTTACACACGTCATACCTAATTTAAAAAGAACAAAATAAGATTCAAAAATAATGTTCTATTTCTATATATATTTCTTGAATCCTATATGACAAATTATCAATATAAATATTCACATTCTGAAATGTTACCGCATTTGCGACCGTATTCGAGCGAGGTGTAATTTCGTCGCTTACTCATGATCCCGATACACGGAAATAACTCTTGGAATTACTAGATCTTCATTATAACTGCGCAAAAGAACGAGAATTAATTGAAGGTCCAGACATATCTCTTTTATGAATAATTTAGTATATTGGAAAAATTAACACAGCTATTTACCAATCGCAAAACGTGCCTTTGCATGGTTTTCGCTTGCTGTTACAAGGAAAAATTTCTTTGTGGTTTTTCACATATAGTGCGTGCCTTTTCGCCAAAATACATATTCTCGTAAAATCTATGGAAAATCGCTTGATTTGTGTCAAACAGCCTTGCGAAAGATCTTTATGCTCGTTAGAAGTAGGTATAAAAGAAAAGGTGCATAATATACGAAGAAAAAGATGCAGCCATAAGTGTAATAAAATAAAAACTTTCACTTTTAAGAAAAAATAAAATTAAAATTGGAACTAAAAATAATTTTGATTATCATTTATTAATTCGTAACAGGAACTCATATTTTTCCATTTTTCGACGTTTAAAGGAATATATGAATTTTTAGGACTCAAAGATTTTATTATTTTTATTTTTTTGTTTTTAATTTTTGTCAATTTTATTTTTTTGAAGAACTTTTTTTTTAAAGAATTTTTCAAGTTCAAAACAATGAAAAATAAGATTGTAAAACATACAATTATTCCAAATCATTATTATTAAAAATTTTTTTAATTTCAGGATCATCAAGGTCCATATATCTTATTGTTAGTTACGGATTAAATGATATGAATACACACACATTCTTTATATTGTATTTTTATTTCCCATTAATACTTTTTTATAATTATTAATTATCAGACCCTTAGGAAAGGAACTGATTAATGTTTAAATAAACTGATTAGCTCTATCAATAATTGATGATAGTGTATCAGAAATTTATGAAATATCATCACTGTTACTGTATATATAATTAAACAGTTTATTAGTTATAATTAAACAGTTTATTAGAACACAATCAGTTCTTTTTCTTAAGGGAATACCTTAGTTTCTACAATTTTTAATCTTCTTTGTACAAGCCTTGGTAGAAACTTTGATGTTACACAAACGCGTTTTTGTCCGCACGCTTGTAGGGCTTTACACCGGAAGAGTCCTTTCCGCAAGAGACGAACTGCTTCTCGTCGGCGAACAAGATTGCCAAGATCCACGAAAAATCTGCGAAGGCCTGATTCGTTCTAAAGAGTGAAAGGAGGGTGGCGTTTGGATAATAAAATGTTGAAACGACAAAGAGAGAGAGAGAGAGAGAGAGAGAGAGAGAGAGAGAGGCAGAACAAGGACTGAGAAAGACGAGATGCCCAGAGTTCCGCACGACGTTAGCTCAAAGGAAATCGAAATGCGCTCGCGTCATTTCGTTACCTCGCTTTCCATTCCTTTCCTTTACCTTCCACCTTCACCCTCGCGTTTTTCCTCGTAAGAGTGCGATTCCCCTTGAACGTAATTTTCCGGACATTCGATCGACCGGATTTCGCTTTCATTTCTTGTTTTGCGCTTCGTATGCTTCCATGAATTCTCCAATTTGCTTGTCAAGTCATGAACATATGACGGAGATGAAAAGAAGAACAAAGATAGAAGAGATTTTGTAGAAAAATTATGTTTTATTACCTATATTATGCAATTTGTTGGCTCTTTTCAAATTTTCAAAATGTGTAAGATACTCAATATCCCTTTTTTTAATTTAATTCCAATTATTCTTAAATTCTTTTCTGTGGAATATCTCTTAAAGCTTCATTAATTCCAGAATTATCACCACCTAGCGTGCATTTATATTCTAGTGACGAGAAAATGTGAATTGTAAAATATTGTTTTGTATGGATATTTTTTTGATTAACATGTAACATTTTCTTTCTTTTATAATAATTATTTATTCTTTACCACCCTTTAAATATGCAATTACATCGAAAACTCTCGATGAAAAAGCTTTATATTAATTAAAACCTTTATTTTTTTAAATATTGTTATAGTAAGTTAGATGGTTAATGTGTTTGCTCTGTTTAATATTTGTTTGATTTCTACTTTTTTCAGAAAATGATGATTAAATCCACATCCATAATGTTCTCAAATACTGATAAATAAGGAAACAATTAATAATATAATACAATATAGGTTGTTCATAATATCTAGTCATTTCAATAGGAATATAAAAACCTCAGGTGTTTACGTAAAAAAAATCAGATTTAAAATAAAAAATAGTTTAAAATGAAAGGAATCTTCACGCACTTCATTTGCTGTATTAATTATCACGGTTTTCAATTAGTTAATTATTTTTTTAGAAAGTTTATAAGATAAAGGATTGCATGAAAAGCTGATGCAAGCGATAATGCACGTTGACGCATGGTTTATTACCGTTCATTTGATTTCATGCGGCGTTAATAACCGTGCCGCTTATAACATCATAATGTCATCACGTGATGCGAAGTAATATGCGCAACCGTGCCTAGTTACATTCTATAACGTTCAATCAACGGAATCCTACGTACTTATTAACAGCATTATCGCGCGGAATGGCACGTACCTATTAATTATATTACCGGAGCAAATAATTATCAATGTAATCACTAAGCTTGCGTCGTAATACCCATAATGTTACAAACTTAACATATTATCAATCATTCTATTTATTCATCTATGTACGTAGTATTACTTTCGTGAATAAATATTACCATTCTTGATAAGCATCGTCGTAAATAAATCTACATTATTAGAAGATATAGATATAATGGAACAACATTTTCGTTAAAATATCATTTAGATTAAAATCAGAAAAGAGAGATTTACTTTCCATTGATTTTATTTTTAAAATCCAATACTTTTATTTCCGTCATGAAAAATTCACTTATATCCGAGTCTACAGAGACACAGCTTCTTGCTTGCTTCAACCAGAGGAACCGGGAGCCTCGATTCTCCTTAGAAAGAAAAGGATATCCATCGTGTTTTAAAGTTTGATGAGCCATCCGGCAACAGGACGCCAACGTCGCTAACAACAATGACGAAGATGGCACACTCCAGCATGCTGTTCCGGATCTCTTTATGTGCGCTTAATGCATTTTTGAAGGTTGGAATATCATAAAGACGAGCCTGTAATAAACTGCACGACGGTGGCGCAAACTCACCTCCGATAACCACCCTGCACCCTCCTCCGTCCGGCGTCCGCTTTCTCAGCGTCTCGCATCGCATGCTTCAATGTCTGCTTGCAGGGAGGGTTTCGAAGACAAGGGGGTGGCTCTGGAGGGTGACTGTGGAGGATGGAGCTGCTAGCTGCATTATGAAGGGAAGTACCCAGAAGGGGGTTTTCAAGAGGGTGAGCGAGATGTTAACAGCCAGACAGCATTATCGTCAAACCACATCTACGTTTTCTAATCAGAAATATTCGTTCTCCTGTGAATTCTCTTGTTAATTCTTCATGACATTAAGAAAAAAGCAATCAGAAATATTAAAATGTTTCATAGTGTCTGTTAATAGCTCTCTAAGAAGATTGATGAAAAATATTTACATTTACCCTAGAATGAATTTAACCCAACGACTGGAATCATATCAAATTGTACTTATACATAATGCAAATTTTTTATTACTAATAAATAAATACTTGATATATACTAATTACTGCTATTAATCAAACTTGTAATTACTTAATTAATTGTGCATAAAATATATACAAACTTTTGTGTCAGACAAGCTATCGCACGATTCTTTATGTCATTTGCATTTAGGACTACTCAAACGGTCCTAAGACTACCACGATGATTATCTGCTTCTCAAAGTTCCTGCTGTGAAAACAATTAGCCTGAACGGCGGAACTTAGATTGCAAGAGTAAACAATTAATTGTCTATAATATTGTAAGTTTTAACATTTCTTAAAATCATTTGTTTTAAAATAATTCATCTTTTATTTCCAACGAAATACTTTTAAAATATTTTATCTATATAGCGTAAACAGAGTAGGATCCTATATGTGAATCAAACCTAAGATCTTTACATCTTAATGCGTCCTCGCGTCGCAAACTATTTCCCTGGTGCGATTATTCATTAAGAGAGACAACGGCGGCGTATTACACCGTCGTGTAATGCCAAGACGACACGACGAAAGCGAGTTACAGCGCGAATCCAGCCACGATGTCGGCACCGGCTGGCGTTTCCTTCCCTCACGGTTGAAGAGCTGTGCTGATGCAATGGCGGCTTCTTCAGGGGAAACTGCGTCAGACAAGCTACACACGATTCTTCATGCCGTTTGCATTTAGGACAACGCAAACGGTCCTGAGACGACGACGACGACGACGACGACGACGACGACGACGACGACGACAACGACGATGATCCGCTTCCCGAAGTTCCTGCTGCGGGAACAATCGGCCTGAACGGCGGAACTTAGATTGCAAGAGTAAGCTGATGTTACGGAAATTGAACTTCTGAAGAAGGATGCGTATCTTGAAGGAGCTGCAACCATGTAATCGACGTCGTGCAAATTTCGCGTTAATTAGAAAGGAATTGATAATGTCTCAACAAACAGGGAATTAATTATGATAGAGAGTTTGTTATGTGCACCAAACACATATTACTAAATCGACAAACTTCTACAAACCATAAAGAAAATTAGAATATAATATTATAATATTATTGATTGTTTTTCGATTGATTAGTATTAATCCGACTGATTAGTATTTGAGAATGTTATGCACATGCGGATGTAATTTTCCGAAAAAAGTAAGTAGAAACCAAATGAATATTAAATGGAACAAGAATGTTAAGTAACTTATTATGACAATATTACTAGAAACTAAAAATTTTCATTAATATAATTCTTTAATATAGTTCTAATTAATAGCTCTTTTGCGGGTTTTCAATGAAATTGCAAACATGAAGATTTATAAAGAATAATTACTAAAAAAGAAAGAAAAAATGTTAAACAATCTATACAAAATAGTATTTTACAATTCACATTTTCTCTGGAAAGATAAAAACATCCCAACTATTCCGTGTTAATACGAATAATTAAAGTTCTTTGTTAATTCATTTGTACTAAAACTTCAGTGATACTATTGGATAATTTCGAAAGGATTAAAACAATCCTTTTCCAATAAACTAAAGCAAGGTTTACTGAATTTTCAGGAAATGGTTGTTTCTAGTAAATCTCGCCTTCCTGACAATGACGACGTCGTTTAATTAGAATAGTCTGGGATAATTAAAGGGATTACTAGCCATCCGACAGAAAAGATTCGAGGTACGCCGCAAGAGGTAAATTCTCCACTTCTCGGTTTCGTGTGACTTTTTCTCCAAAACATTTAAAACTTCACACAAGCGTTTTAACTCTTCAAAATGATTCCACTCTTTAAAATGATTTAAGAAATTTTATTTTGACCTTTTATTTCAATTTGTAATTTGTAGAATGTTTATAAAAATTATGTCCCCATGAAAAAATTGCAACTTCCTTTCTGGAGGTATGTACAAAATACACGATATAATATTGATGACAGGACTGACAAAGCATTCCAAAAGTATAATTTTAACAGAATTAAAAGAACATTATTTATTTAATAAAAGTGTTAGAAAGTTGAGAGAGAGAGAGAGAGAGAGAAAGAATGCATGATACATGCAAAAAACGCACAAATTTATATCAATAAATATTTTCTAAAACTTTAATTTAATTTTCCCATGTCTATGTTAGGTATGTATGTATTCGTCAGGAATATACCAAAATGGTGCAGAACTCATTTTGCTGCGGTACACAACTCCAAACTTAGTAAAACTTGTTTTTTCCAGTGGATTAATTTTAGGCAATCCTGGCATTCGTAACACGCTAGACGAAAATGCGCATTAACATAACTCCGCAAATCTCTGCTGTACTGTGAAGTTCTGCATTCGCAATCCAGTAAACAAGTAGGAGTATAGTATAAGTCCATTTTCTTAGTAATTTCCTTATTTAATTCGACGAGCGTTTACTTCTAGCAGATAAACTTCTAATTAATCTTAGTTGATAAAATAATGGAACTATATTGATGCGCGCAGTGTTGATCGTCGGAGATACCTGTAGATGCCTTTGATGATGAGGCGGACCACAGCGTTAATTAATTTTACGCTGTTTCCCGCTGGCGAAGACTGCTTTTATGGATAAACGGAATTAACCGCAAGCTGTCCAAAGAGACAACGCGATCACAGATATCAACATTATAAATAGATATCTCTGAATATTATCTTCTTCAACAAAGATTATGATAAGAGATATTTTGAACCAATTTTAATACTTACTATAGTAATATCATAGAAATATATTAAAAACTTATATATACAAACATATTTTAGAAAAAATAATTTTATTTATGTTGAAATTTATGCACATACATATACCATGTATATGTGTATGTATAATTCAAAATTTTTATTCAACAGACATTTTATATCGTGTTAATTATAATTTATATGTCCAGTACTCTTACATTAATTAATTTACTTCTGTACTTCTCTAAATCCTTGCTTCGGTAATGTCACAAAGAACTAGACGCAAAACATTCCTGTACAACGACACAAACATGCGAAATAAAGTACGATGCGTTACGGGACACGAAGAGTAAGAACGAGCAACTGCAAGGGACAAAACGCGTGAGAAAACAGGAAAAGAAGGAAAGAGAGTTGGGAGGGAGGAGAGTTGGCCGGCGCGACGGGAAACAGTAAAAATTTGCATCACAATCGTGGATAGAAATAATTACGCGAGAAGCGCGCGCGCAAATGGAAGGGGTGGTGCAGATGCGAATGCGGATGCAAGAAGGGGTGGAAAGGAGTGTGGGAGAGAGATAGAGAAACGACTAGCCGGAAACACGACTAGAAATTCAGATACGAGATACACCGGGAAGGAAAAAAAGCAACGAAGATTCAAAAGGGGCGAAGCTGAATTTCCCTGTTTATATAGAATAGGAAAAAATAAGAGAATGAGCGAGAGAGAGAGAGAGAGAGAGAGAGAGAGAGAGAGAGAGGAAAGTTCAGAACATCGCACGTAGGAAGTAGACGCTTCGATGCTGCAATAATCCGGAACAAGCAGATCCAACAAAAGAACAGAGGCTGCTGAACAGATGTAAGTTAAAATACAAGTTGATCCAAATTGCACCAGAAAGCTGTAATCTAGTATATTAATCCCTTGCTTTATTGATATGCAATTTTTCTTAAGAAACATCAAGCCACTCTACAGATAAAAATTGCGTATATCAAACACAGTACAAGATATTTACGCATGTTAGAAAAAGTGACGAAACGCGTCTATTGTATAGCTATTTTATCTGCGGAATTCATAAAGCAAATTCCAAGATTGAAAATATTACTTAAAATCAAGCCGAAGAACGGTAGCTATTGATATTCGTGCGCTTTTGGAAGAATCTTCAAATACTAACATAATCTCCTTTTTGAAGACAATATCAGACGCTTTCCTGATGTACATCAGAATTTTGGAATCTCATGTTTTTAAATGTGATAAAAAATCGATTGGTATTAGCCATATGTTTAGTATTTCATTACATATTTCATTATTCATAAAACATCTGCATATGACGTATCTGTCTGTTAGATCGTTAACGCTTAATCATTAAATAATAATAATTAAAAGCTATCCGTTTAACTATTTAAAAAAATTTAATATATTATTATATATATACATACAATTTGAGTGACAATGGAACCCTAGCGATCTAGGTCACATTAGGCGGCTATCATAGCCCCACCTGTATTTTTACTATTACTACTACATGCAATTTAATTTCATATAACTTTGATAACTTCGACAATTTTTAATTATTAAGTTTATGGATTTTTAATTCTTAAATTGCAAACATTCATTAGATAACAACTTTAGTAATTTTTATTAATAATGTTTATCTTATTACGCACTTAATGATAAAATTGTACCTATATATCACACATGCTTGAATATACTATTCTATCAATATTTTAAAATAAGATACATTCATGTTAAAAAATCTCAAATTATGTCTTTTTATTCGAGAATTATTATTCCCGAGATCTGTAGCGAGAATATGCGACTAAATAAAGGCGACAGAATGGGACAATTTAAGCTAACCAAATTCATATTGCTACAGAATTGTGTCTAATATGAGCATAATGATATAAAATTAATTCCGCACGGAAAGAATGAGATTTTGCTGAAATATCTAAAAATTTAACTAGATCTAAAAATA